GCATGTGTTTAATATTAGATTTTCTAAATTAGGGAATGTGTCATGCATGTACAATTATAGAGTCGCTTCCCCGATCCAGCGAAATTGCGCCATAATTGTTGAAACTTTGACTATACCGAAGACAGAGCCAATAAAAAAGTCATAAATACTTGCATGAACCTGTCTCTCCGCAAAACGTGCCGATCAGACCAAATAATTATGCGGAGAACACATTCATGTTTACTTTGTTATAGAATTGTATATTAAGGCTTTGATGCTATGAAACAAACACACAACCTTTGCATTTCATCCATCTGACAGCTTTTTTATGTATTCTCTTTCCTCTACTTTCGATTTTCTCGCTTTGTGGCCGTCTACTTTTTCCAACCGTAAACTCGCCTTTTGATTCGTATGTGAGCACGTCGTTTCGTTGCGAAATTGTGAAAGTAGTACAAACCCCTAATCTTAAATCCTCTTTGGCGGAGATTGTTACCAATTTGGGCGATTTGAGACACACGTTGAACGTTTTGTAGAATAAATAGTCGCGGGAACCGAAAAGGTCGAGCGGGCATTTTTAAGTGTCTTCCTTTGTATAAAGAAAAAAGCAAGAAGAAATAAACGATAACCAAGTAATTAAGCCATGCACTAGTATGTATTATTACTGCATTTAATTCCTACAACTTGCGTAAAATCAGGTCTCAATTAATGCTTTAATTTGTTCCCGCGACTGAATACCGTTCCCGTTGTCTTATCATCAGTCTCGCTGATGCCAATGCCCATCCTTTCTTCTTTTCCGTCATTTCCATGCAAATGCTCATATTTTTCGCCATTTTTATTCACTGCAGCAAATTTCACACGGGTACAAAGGGGGCAGTCTTATCGGTACAATATCGAATCGACTGTATATAAAAATGCCATCTTGCTTGCATTAGAGTCTAATGTTAGAAAGCATTTGATGGATATGATGGAGTAACAGGCAAACTATTGGGTTGTATCGAGTACGTTTGGATGCATCTCGTACAAAACGGTTGCTATACGAATTCAATCACGGACCGTTCACGTCAGTCAGTACTCACAGCAAAAGCATATTGATGAACACTATTCTGCGAGAGAGAAGTATTTGCATCACTACGTACAAAGCGACATCCAATTGACCTGGTTCTACCTTCTGCTCCCATACTCCAGCAATTTTTTTTCTCACACTCTTTTCATAATCCGCGCATAGTCTCAAGACCACTTACTTTCCCTGCGTCACTATATATATTTATCACGCCCTTTCCTCCCGTGCTCATAACATCCGCAACGTATTAGCGAAAGCTGCAAACATCGATTCATGTTATATGCTGTCTGCATTTTACGAATGTAAGTCTAGAACAATGCTTTTGTTAGCTGGGATAGAGACATCATTATCGATATGGTTCTGACATAGAATTATAATCTGTATTTGCTTTTGCGGACAGACATGCAGACCCACTTCCATCTCGATAACGCCAAACGCACGATTATTGCACTTGCCAAACTTTCCATCAAATTCGCGCCATCCCGTCATCAATATCCAGTCATAACGACACGTAACGACTTTCATAACGGGCTTTGGCACTCGCAGTGGATAAAATAGCACATGGCCATTGGTGTGCTCTGTATTGCCAGTTTTTGTCTAGATGTTATATGAGCCGCGCGGGATGTCTACAATTGGTGCCTGTTTTAAGATGAATCATTCGTTTTCTTCTTTCTTTTCTTTTCATTTTTTTTATCGTTTTCGGTTTACATTCTTACGTGCAACGTTTCTTTACGAAGGTTGATGTTGACCACTTACATTGTTCATTGACCATTGTTTGGAGGATTATTTATGCTTTCTAGGACTAAAGCACAAAAGCATTCTATACATTCATCAGCATCGACTTAAGTTTACTTTCGCTGACCGCATTTGCGTCAGAAAATTATTTTATGTCTTCATTTTATATATATATCATTTTCATCGCTCATACATATTTTTATCCTTTTATTCTTTTACAATTTATTGAACCAACGTGACAGATTTTATTTGATGGTTTAGCGCAACTCTATGTATGGTTCTGCATATGTACAATAAGCCTGTATTTCTCATCCATTTAATAAGTGCATCCCAACCACATCTGCAAAATTCTTTAGTATAAGGGAAACATAAAACATATTCTACTCTGTTCATAACAATTCGGATGCTTATGGCGTGTTCTAGGTCGATAATTCCTTGGATTATTTGTAGCGAGTCTTTCGAGTATTACCTTTTCTTTCTACAATAATAAAAATTACGAAATGATGCGTATAAACATATAAGGATATGTTTAATTACTCGCGATGATCTCGGCTCTTCCGCGCGTCTCTTGTGGTTTGACACAATTGGGATAGATTGCCGAGGTAACCATTGTATACAGTATGCCGATACTGATCGACGATCCCCAAGACCGCAAATGGCAATGTCATACAGCATACATGTGAGATATCTGATATGCCAATATTGATCGTATGTTCATGTTTGTTGATCGTATGGAAATAAATTCAATGTTGATCGCATAATATTGGCTTGCACAAGTACTTTTACTCTTGTTTCAAAGTATATAAGGATTGGTTGCTTATCTTCACCGGGGGGGGGGGGGAGTAAGGCTGCTGAACATTCTAATTACAGGACAACACTCGAAAAAATTATGGTTCAAATTGAGTTAAGGCTGGGGAGTGTCTCGTTAGAATAAGGTAAATGTACCGGACAAAAGTATCAGACACCCTAACTTTATTAATTGCTCAAAAGTGTACATAATAATTGAGGCTAAAGTTTTTATATGCCAAGCCTAACTTCTTATGAAAACACGGATATAATTTTTAAGCATTGATTATATTTATCGTGGCAGATTAAAACGAAATCGGATTAAAACGAAATTTGGTGTCTTTTTGGATCCTCTTTTAATACATCTGAACCCACATACTGTATACTCTTCTATTAACAAAAGTTACCCTAAATCCCAGTCCAAATCCCAAAAAAAGTGCCCTCAAAAAATTTAAAATTTCATATTAAAATAGAGAAATTTTCATTTTAATCCGATTTTGTTTTAATCTGTCACATTTATTTCCTTTGTAAACAATATAATAAACGGGATTGGTGTTTTAATCTTTAACTTGAAAATGTCTGACTTAACCGAAGCCAAATTATCAAACTTTTTAAAAGCGGTGCTACCAAAATGAGTATATCTAAAACTCTTGGCTTCCTTAGAGCAACAGTAATACAAACAATTCAAAAATTTTCTCGAAAGAAAAAGTCTCGCAACCAAACGCTTTAGTTCGCGTTTCGTGTGTATCGGTACATTTACTTTTCGTGTTAATATTGAGGATTTTGCGCTTTTGACGATTAAAGTTCCGGGACAAAATCGGCGAAATGAAAACTCTTTCGTTGACTTCGACAATTTTTCTTTAGTAAATAGGTTGGAAAATTTTATAAAATGTGCAAAATATGTAAAACGATACTGCAAACAAGTTTAATTAATGCATAAAATACGGTTTGCGTTTTCATGGTGTGATTCGTATTTCTCCGTGACTTTACCAGCAAGTTCTGAAAATATTCATTTATGAAACGGCTTAGATCAAAAGTTGCCAACGAAGAAAATGACAATGTATGGTAGTTCACAAAGAAATGTGCTATCAAGGTTATGATTTTGTTTGAGGGTGTTACTAAAGAACGCAAATCTCCAAGTGAAATGATACACGTATTTTGGTAAGCTAAAAACAGCAAATGGGATTGAAAGGTTAAGTGAGGAGAACAAACTATAGTTAGGAGAACACGCTTTACTTCACTACGCTGTTGAATTATCATATAGACATCAATATGTTAATGCGTTTATTGTCGAAATCAATAGCAATAGATGACGTACTCCTTCGAAATATATGTCTACATCATCGCATCGCAGTGTGTTTTGCGAAATGTAAAATAGTTAATACCCATAGCATAGCCTTCTAAACAAGCTTTGAATAGTCCATCAATGCGAATTCGGTTTTGATGCCCTGCATTTGGATTGTGGTTGGGAAAAGCCTCACACTATTGTCGTAAATCTCTTATAAACACTGCTGGATCTTCACCGCGAAATTTTGGAGGGGTTATCCATGCCTGTATGTTGTATTTGCTCAGAATTTTGAGCGCGAGTTTTCCACTCACTCCACTTATTATTATTGTCCAACTGTAAGTTACAGAAGAAGTAAATCATTCTGCATTCTAAGTTTTAATTCTCTCCCATGTACCGACATGTTGTTCTAATCGATAAACATATACCTTATAAATAAATTCAAGAGCACGTTTGAATTTGGACTGTTCATCCCATACCAAGCTTAGATTACGCCACAAACGTCCTCACAAATTATGTCCTTGTCAACGTCATCGAATTCCTTGAGTAAGTTGGTTGATTAGATTCTGCTGGTTTATATCTAATTGTCTAAATTAAAATGTATTGATATCATTCTGTAATAAACCTATCTGATTATTACTAGCATTACGCTGAGCAATAACTTTAGTCAAATTATTTTGCAATGCAGTATGGCGTATATATTGATACGCAAGTCTCCAGTGAGTCGTCTGATTTAAGGTTCCATCAATCCCTTTGACCATTATATCTTGATCCGGAGAATTATTTCGTGGTGGAAAATTAATAAAAAACGATATAATAATAAAGTAAGTTCTGCTGTCTATCAAGAGATCGAATCGCTGATATTCTGATTGGCCGAAATTTAAATTCGTTTTTGTTATTGTCAAGCATATTAATATTAATACAATCACAGTATTTCCGGCACATGAAAATTTCCATTCCTATATGGTTATACTTTCCTATATTCTTTTTTCCTTGTCCAGTATATACTAAGCGTCATTAGAAGCGTAGGGGCGGAGACGAAGAGGGAGGAATAAAGCATGCCAGTGATGCCAGACAATTCACTGGCCACAGATTGCATAGTTATCGAATAAGTACCTTTCAGACTATCGAACAAAGTCCAGTCGGTGATTGGCTTTAGATTGCTGGGGGAGTTGCTCTTTCTATATTGAGAAGCATTTGTGCAAAAGCTGCTTCCGTAATTGTTCCTTTGATTTGGGCCGCTAAGTAATTCTCAAGCGCGTGCCAATATACACTATACTGCCAATTTGGCGTATTGGAAGCGCCTTTATCCATTCATATAAGGAAATAGGATCGTTCCAGTTAGGAACTGATAGAGGATGGATGCACAAGTAAATTGGGTGTGATGGCGAAGGGTAGGGTGGATAAATGGAACGAGTGATAAATATGGATGTGATGATATACAAGAAAAGCGACAAACAATACCAGTGATATTTACCTTGCTGTTTTCGTTTCCGTGCAAGATAATTTCCCCATCCTTAGCATCGTGATTGTTTGCTCTGTATTCAGCAGCAAATTCTTCGTATTCTTGAGAGTCTATCATGTTTGTCAAATTATGAGAAGAAAGAAAAGAACGTGTAGCTGCGCGCGTTTATATCTTGCTACGCATCATGGGAAAGATCACGTTCTGGAACAATTGACGCGCATCAAATTATACTCCTGATGACGTTTCATACATACGAATATTCCGCTGACACGTGATAATTAAAGTTACATTTAGTATCCCAAGTTTGTAACATGAGACGCTTATTTATTTAATGTTATCTGGACTTGAAGCTTGAAATAGCTGTTACGAAAAACGTTTAATCCGTTGGATGTACATCATTTATTGCGCAAATTATTTTTCGGTCACACTATTTTTCAGAAATTTATTATTCTTATCTTTCGAATAACCAAATAAAACCAGAAAAAGGGAATACGAAAACCGGTTTAAAAGGACAGGCACCGCCAGCATATATAAGCCGCGAATAATTATATTAACGAAATAAAAATTAGCCACTCTGTGACTGCCTTCGACAATGAATTATAACCATATCTGCCATTAAAAATATAAATTGAACAATACAAATAAGTATAGCGATGAATTATTATAACAGGAACTGATGATACGTACGTAGTAACGATAACTATTGTAATAATTTTACCAATTAATTAAAATATTTACACAGGGATCGGTAATAATAACATATAATGTTAGCTTATTCAATAGTTTGCATATACGACACATCTTACATCGACTTTTCGTACAAGTCATCCAGTTCAACGTTACGTGTAATAGAGCTTAACGTATTTTGTTCCTTTAACTAAATGCGTAGATGATCTGTAATTGACCAACCACATTTTAGCTTAAATTCCAAGAGCGAAAAGAATTAGTTAATATGTATGTCTATGAATAATAAGTCTCAACTGCTACTTCAACAGGCACTATTACTTGCAAATTCTTCTAGTGATAGTGAAGAGTCTCCTGATGGAACAAGTTCTGAATCAAGCGATAATGAACTGCTGACATAATTGAATACGTGTGTCGTCTATTTATTATGCGTATTTTGTGGTCTGATGTGTTCCAATTTTTATTACCTAAATTAGATATCCCCAAATTTGGAAAGAGAGAAAAATCGGAAATGAAAAGGAAAGACGGTAATAGTAATAGTAAGTGTTACTCACGGATCATCTCCGTGACTGTACAGTCGTACCTCATTTGTATCCCCTATTGTATCCGACTATAGTAATCTGCCTCTGGTTTATATGCCCTATTACTATCTCCTTTCTATTTATATAATCTGTGCCAGACTTGTACTACCAATTGAATATCATGCCAATGCCACTTTAATAAATTCTCAAGTGCAAATCAGGCCGTAAAATAAACATATTAATATAAGAGAGAGCATCTTGCTTATTTTCGCAAAGTCTATTAACCAATAAAATCGCATGCTTTAAATAACGTTGCACACACTCCCCGAAAAAGATAAACGAGGTACGATGTACTTGAAAACTTCTTATTCAAACGATGTCATTAGTTCCAAGGATTAATAATCCAGTAATTGACAACTTGGTTCAATCCTCCTCAAGACTTGAATGGATTCATTACGAGGAAATCACCAACATAAAACCAACTCAAATTGACAACGTCTATTCTGCTGTTCACAGTGATCGCATGGTAGTACTGGTATTCCTTGGAAATGATGAAATATGTACACTTGTAAGTGAGTTTGCTAGAATATACTCACTTCCAACACACGAATACAACAATGATGTCAGTCAATTTAGACGATATTCCAAATGGCTTAGCAGTCGCAACAATCTCATAAAGGGATTTACCAAGCATGACGACAACTATTGCATGGTTGCTGATGAACCCTTTTACCATTATTATTCTCTCTATGGGTTCTGCTCCGCATGTGGAATACTCTGATGTAGTCCAGTGTGGTGCATTTGCGGACATAAGGAATTATCTGATGGATGGACTAGCAACAATAAGCAACTCGACGAGTTTATCAAGAAATCTCAATTACAAACAAACTCTGCAAATGATGCCTATTTGGAATGGATTCCATTTGATTGTATTCATGAATATGGACACTTGTATGGACTACCTACTCGTATATATGTTGAATTGATTCCACTTGAGATAACAGACGAGACACATTATTTATATTATGCCGAGGTAAACTATTTACTTATGCGTCATGTTTATTGAATAGTTTAGGCGATTATTGACTTATGTATCATTTCCACTAGTTATGTGATAAGCATCCGGATATTCTTACCACGGATGTTTGGGTTACCATCGGATTCACATATGATACACATAAACAAGAGTATTGTCTGATAAAACGTGAGGATGGCTTATGTCTGGGGTGTGCAAGTCAATTAAACCCCAAGATAAATCTATTCTCTTATGAATGTAAAGCACCAAGACCTGCTGATTGGACGACTGGCAACAAGTCTTTGGATTCATTTCTAATAAAGTCGTGGAGTAATATGAAGTATATATTCGATGCGTACATACAATGGATTGAATACTGTCTATTGACAAACATACAAGAGATGACATCATTACGCCATGGATGCACACATATAGCAGAATGGACAACAAATGAATTGACAAGTGTGACACTCAAAAAGATAGTTGAAGGGGATGATCAGTTATTTGATTTTCATCAGGTAAATTATTTCACGCGTAAAATGCAAGTAGTATTACTAACGTGTGTATCAAGCAGATTATTGTTGTAACGACTGTATTTGTTTACTCAAACAGCTAACTAAGGAATATCCAGAGATATTAACACCCGAGAATATTTGGATAATTGGGATTGCTCAGAAGCCATCTACTCGAGAATATTATTTAGTTTTCTACCACGACGTACATGCACTATTGGACAAGTTTATACAACTTAACGATGATATTGAATACATAAAGTATAGCGACTTTTACGAGCTCAAAGAGATCGGATCTGGTGGTTATGGAACCGTTTATACTGCCAACTATAACAAGTATTCAGCAGAAGAGTATCAGAATATACCATCAACTGTTGTATTCAAACGGTTTAAGAGTTTTAATGAAACGCCAGAATTATTTATTTCCGAGGTAAGCAATAATTGATAGTATTAATTAAAGTGATATTTAATTTGACACTGTATTTGTTTCTATTCAACATAATCCTTTCCTTAAAATTTATGGAGTGACACAAGACCCAGAAACAAAAGAGTACGTGATTGTTATGCAATATGCTAACAATGGTAGTCTTTTGTCTTATTTGGATCAAAAT